AACAGGTGGGGGAAGTGAAAGTACTGTTGGTGAAGATTATCATTCTCCGGAAGCAAATGGAGGCACTTCACTGCAGCCCAGCATATTTATTCAGTGCTTGCTTCACTGTGTAATGTGGACTGTACAGAGATGTTGAAGACATAGACCCTGTATTATTATTATTATTATTTCTTCTTCTTCTTCTTCATTATTATTATTATTATTATTATTATTATTATTGTTATTATTATTTTAAATTAGTAACAAGCTTGCTTTCCATGTCAACCCTGGCTTCCTCTCCCTCACCTCCTCCCCCACTCCCCACCAACCACCAAGCCCCCACCCACTCCCCCCTCTCTTCCCCTGGGAAAGTGAGGCCCTCCATGGGGAATCTCCAAAGTTTGTCATATCATCCCAGGCAGGGCCTAGATGTGTCCAGGCTGAGAGAACATCCCTCCATGTGGAATGGGCTCCCAAAATCCATTTGTGTGCCAGGGACAAATGCTGGTTTCCTACCAGAGGCCCCATAGATTTCTGAGGCCTCCTCACTGACACCCGAGTTCAGGGGTCTGGATCAGTCCCATGTTGGCCTCTCAGCCATCAGTCTGGGGTCCCTGAGCTCCCCCTTGTTCAGATCAGCTGTTTCTGTGGGTTTCACCAGCCTGGTCTTGACACCATTGTTCATCACTCCTGCAACTGGGTTCCAGAGTTCAGTTCAGTGTTTAGCTGTGCGTGCATGAGCAAGCACGCAAGAACACCTGTGTGTATGCATGAAGTCCAGATGGCATCAAAAGCTCTCTGCTTTAACTCTCTGCCTGTCTCTGAAACTGGGATTCATGTTTTCTTGGCTTGCCTGGAAGCCAACAAGCCCCACAAATTCTCTTGTCTCTGCTCACATCAAAGCTGGTGTTATAGGAGTTTTGGGGGAGACATGGCTTTTTATATGGGTGCTGAGATGGAGATCCAGTCCTTGGTATTTCAGAAAAAACACACAGGGAATTGAAGTAAGTGGAGATAACAAGACAGTCTCTGTGGAATGGTGCCCCTTGAACTTGGTTTTGAAGGGAAGTCAAGATTTGAATTAGATGGGGAGGGGCCTTTTCACAGTTTCCTTATATCCAGAAGGAGATCTTTTTAGTGTGTGCCCTTTAACTACCTCTTGTTTCAAAGCAGGGGGAGGGGGTGTTGGTTGGGGGACAGGGACTGAACTTTGTCTTTGGAATAATTAGCACTGACTCTTCAGTTTACTTCTACAACTTGAGGTCAGCTTTGATGTAATTCAATTACAGAGAAACTCAAGCCTGCTTGAACTAGCTCCATAAATGCAAAGTGAAGAAAAGAACAGAAGTGAAAAGCTTTCTAAGAATTTGCTACTAAATAGCTTAATTAAACTTGCATATAAGATGTATTTTGAAGTTCACTGCACCCTCAATGTTGTGTAACAACTATTTTAGCCTCATAAATAGGGATCAGAGGCTTCATTAGGTTTAAGTGCCACCAATAGGCTTAAGTCTGACTTATATGAAGAAGGAGGCAAGATGAAGTGGATGGGAACAGAAAGAAGCAGAGGAGAACTTTAAGGGCAAGGATGGGCTGGGGTGCAATGGGGATACTTGATTCACTAACATTAGATTAAGTACTAATGACAATAGACTGAAGTATCAAATTCGCTTTTTAATCTTGACCTGTTTTTAGTTTAAATCTATGTGCAAATGCTACCTATTTCTGTTAGACAGTGAGATGACACTTGAAGGTGTACCTAATCTTGGTAAGGATGAAATTTCAAATAAAATGCTGTGCCAAGTAAACATAGATGAAGTATATTTTCATGTTGGATTAAATTGTAATCTCACAATAAAAATATAGAACTTAGTCTGGAAATGGTATTTTTTACTGACAACTAATAAAAAGTCATGTCTTTTAAAAAAATCCTTTGAAAAGACTCTAGATTTATGATAGGTGATATAAGGAGTGCATGGCCTATATAAATCCAGAGGTGCTTCCCAGAAGGTTAGTGAAAATAGCCATGTTCAGACAAGTGTGGTGTGTGATTCTCACATTGTAATATGGTTTTCATTATGACAATAGTCTTAATGCCACTTATTTTCTTAGATTGAGACGTAATGAACTGGTAGTAAGTGTATCAGACATTGCCTAAAATTCATCATCAATTAAACTTAAAAGGGCATTTATCTCTTTTAAACTTTGTATGTTTCATTTACTGTATAATATAATTAGTAATTATATTTTGCAAATATTTATATAAAAATTAGGCAACTATTGGAAGGTTTGAAAATTTTAGCATTGTGTTCATATAAATTCAGAAGAAGAAATTAAATCTATAAATTTTAAAAGGGTGATTCTTCTATAAGAAATGTAATAAAATATGTTAGATGGGAATGTGAATGAACTGAAACTCTTGTAACATTATGGTATTGATTGTATAAAGCCATTTTTGGAAGGTGTTCAGGATAAATTAAGTTCTGAATCAATAATATAACCTCCTTATA